GTCAGCCTCACAAGGCATTGTCTTTTTTTTTTTTTTTGGACAGGTTTTTGCTATAGGGCACATGTGCTCGCCAGACAGATAGAAACAGAGACAGACAGAAAGCAAGAACTCACCTCCGAGGGGAGATGGCCACGCTGCAATCCCTTCTTCTCCATTCTCCTCTCGGGATCTTAGACATGCACGCACATGCACCTGGTGTGAGTTTTTTAAGCCACCGGGTCTGGGATGCAAACCATGGTGGACTACATGAGAGTCCAGCGACATAGCCATTATGCTAACTGCTGGTCCCTTTTTCTTTTTTTAAGAATTATTTTATGGGGTGGGGGGGACCAGCAGTTAGCGTAATGGCTGTGTCTTTGGACTCCCATGTAGCCAACTATGGTTCGAGTCCCGGACCCAGTGGCTTAAACTCACACCGGGCACGTGTGCGTGTGTGTCAAGACCCTGAGAGGAAAATGGAGGAGAAGGGACTGCGGCATGGCCATTCCCCCTGGGGGGGGGTGATTTCTCACTTTCTGTCTGTCTCTCTCTCTGTCTTTCTGGCAAGTGCATGCACCCTATAGTGAAAAACATCTCCAAAAAATATATATATTTTATTGGGGGGACCAGCAGGTGGCATGGTAGTTAAGGCGCTGAACACTCCCATACAGCTGACCACAGTTCAAATCTTGGACCTGGTGGCTTTCTTCCTTACTTTCTTTCTATGTCTCTCTCTGGTTAAATTAAAATAATAAAATGAATGAATGAATGAATAAAATATAAAAAAGAAAGAATTATTTTATTAAATTTCATTTATTTTAATTTGACCAGAGAGAGAGAGAGAGGGCAAGTAAGAAAGCAAGTCACCAGGTCCGAGACTCAAACCGTTGTCGGCCATGAGGGAGTCCCGCACCCTTAACCACCATGCAACCTGCCAGCCCCACAGGGCGTTGTCTTTTACCATTGCACCACCATCCAACCCCTCTAAGCCTTCTTTGATCTCTTTTTCCTGCCCCGACTAGAGTAGAATCCCAGGCAGAAGAGTCCCCTCCTTCCATGTAAACAGAGCTAAGCTTTGGGTCATCCCTGGGGTAGATATGGCCACAGCAATGCCTCCTCTGAAGGGCGCTTTGCCTGGAATGATCAGAATGGAGCATCCCAGATATGTGAGCCCAGGAACTTAGGCATGTCCTTTGCAGCATACCTGGGAGGCAGGAGCGTGAGGAATGAGCTCCAGCACCTCGGGTGCTCACCTGCGTGTGCCTGGGACACATTACATGTGCATTTTTTGTCTTCTGCTGGAAGAGATTTCTGTGAGCTTATCTCCCTCTTCCCTCTGACCCTCCCTGAGAAGTCTAGAAGGATAGAGGGCCACTCTGCGTAGGGGTCAGGAGAAGAGCTGTGTGTGTGGGGATTCTTTAGGAAACCTGACTGACCTTGTGGGCCGTACTCTACAGATGTGGTCATGTTCCTTTTTAAGCCTAGGATTCCCCAAATCTTAAATCCCTTATGCATGTTATTTTTAACAGCACTATTGAAATACATGTCACGTATGGTCAGTTCACGTATTTAAAGTGTGCACATCAGTGGTTTTTAGTATGTTCACTGAGTCGTGCATGCACCACTGCAGTCAATGGTGTCACCCCAAATCGAAACCTCGTCCCCATTAGCAGCCCTCCCTGTTTGCTCCTAGCCCTCCCCTGGGCCCCAGGAAACCAGTAATCTACTCTCTGTGGATTTACCTATTCTGGATAGTTCGTATCCATGGAATAACATGTGGCTTCCAATAGAATCATATACCATGTAGCTTTATATAATCATTTAATAACTGGGTTCTTTTATTTAGCATTTCTTTTCTTCTCTTTTCTTTCTATTTTTTTTTTTTTTTGAGGTTTTTGCCGTAGGGTGTATGCGTTTGCTGGAGAGAAACTGTGAGAGAGAAAGTGAAAAATCTACCCCCGAGGGGGATGGCCACACTACAGTCCCTTCTCCTCCTGGAATTTTGGGCATGCATGCATATGCATCCGACATGATTTTCAAGCCACCGTGTCCAGGACTCGAACCATGATCAGTCATGCAGAAGTCTAGTGCCAAAGCCACTGCACTACCTGCCTCCCTCCTTAGCATTTGTTTTCAGGATTCATCCATGCTGTAGCATGTATCAGTACTTCATTCCTTTTTGCAGCCAAACAATATTTCACCATGTGAATACACCACAGTTTGTTTATCCACCCATACATCTACTGATGGACATTTAGTTATTTTCCACTTTTTGGCTATTCTGAAGACTGTGGCTATAAACATTCACTTTCAAGTTTTTGGGTGGACATACATTTTTATTTTTCTTGGGTATATACCTAGAAGTGTAATTTCTGGGTCATATGGTTAGTCTGTGTTTAACCTAAGAACCTCCAGATTGTTTTCCAAAGTGACTGCACCATTTTACATCCTTGCTGGCAGTGTATGAGGGTTCCAGTTCCTCCACATTCTCATCAACATTTATTATTGTCTGACTTTAATTATAGTCAACTGAGTAGGTATCAAATGGTTTGGTTTGAACTATTTCCTTGTAACTAATGGTATTTAACATCTTCTCACATACTGTTGGCTATTTGTATATCTTCTTTGAAGAAATGCGTATTCTGATCATTTGTCCATTTATTTAGTTTTAGTTTTAGTTTGATATAGGGTGCATGCATTCACCTGGGGTGGGGGGGAGTGAGAAATCACCACCCTACCCCCCCTTCCCCGGGCAGGGGGACAGCCATACTGCAATCCCTTACTCCTCCATTCTCTTCTCAAGATTTTGTGCATACACACACCGTTGCCCGGTGTGTTTTTCTTTTTCTTTTTTTTAAGAATTATTTTAGGTGGGACCAGCAGTTGGCATAATGGCTATGTCTCTGGACTCCCATGTAGTCGACCATGGTTTGCATCCCAGACCTGGTGGCTTACACTCATACTGGGTGCGTGTGCGTGCATGCCCAAGATCCCGAGAGGAGAATGGAGGAGAAGGGATTGTGGTGTGGCCATCCCCTCTGGGGGGGTGATTTCTCACTTTCTGTCTCTCTGTCTCTCTCTGTCTTTCTGGCAAGCCCACACTCCCTATAGCAAAAACCTCTAAAAAAAATTATTTTAGGGACCAGCAGGTGTCATGATGGTTAAGGCGCTGGACACTCCCACATGACTGACCATGATTTGAATCCTGGAAGTGGTGACTTGCTTTCTCATTTTCCATCTCTCACTGTATGTGTCTCTCTCTCTGGTCAAATTAAAATAAATGAATGAGTAAATAAAATTATTTTCAAAAACTTATTTTATTTAACTTTATTTATTTATTTATTTTTAATGTTACCAAAGAGGGACAGAGCGAGAAAGCAAACCAGCAGGGCCAAGATTTGAACTGCAGTTCAAGTGGGAGGGTGTCCAGTGCCCTCAACTACCACACCACCTGCTGGCCTCACCCAGCATGTTTTGAAACTCTGGGTCTGGGACCCGAACTGTGAAGTCGGCCATGTGGGATCCAGCTGCCTTTAACTTCCATGTCACCGCTGACCCACCCCTTAACTCATTTTAAGTTGTGGGTAAAAATTAGGGACAGGTATGGAGCCTAGTTCAAACTGCCTCCATTTAGCCACAGTGAATTTGCTTGTGGGTGGCGTGTTTGATCAAACGCAAGTGATGCCGAATAAACGGGGGGCGGGGGGTGAGAACCAGTTGGGTTGTCGGAAAAGTCATGATGCATTTTTGCATAGCGAAGCATAGTAAAAACTACGTCGTGATTGTTCTGACAACCCCATAGATTCGGTGCGTATAAGCAGGCAGAGCTGTCCCGAGAGTGATCCTTAACGCCAGGGATGTTGTGGTGTCGGTGGGAAGCCTTCCACCATGTACGGTGCAATCTCCTCTTGAGGTTAGAGAAGAGAAGCAGCGGCTGGTGGTCTGGATGATGTCCTTTTCCCAGTATTTGTTTGAATCCAAGACTCGGTTGTACTGTGTTACCTTTCCCGGATTTCTGTGGAATCAGCATCGTGCTCTGATTGGCCTGCATTTGCTCTGCAGCCAGAATGAGCGGGTGTGAGATGCTGAGGGTAGCCCTGTTGGGAAGAGAGCCCGCATCTTTCTTTCTTTCTTTTTTTTTTGGATAGGTTTTTGCTATAGGGCGCGTGCGCTCGCCAGAAAGACAGAGACAGAGAGACAGAAAGCGAGAAATCACCCCCCAGGGGGATGGATGGTCATGCTACAATCCCTTCTCCTCCATTCTCCTCTCGGGATCTTGGGCACACACACACATGTGTCCGGTGTGAGTTTAAGCCACCAGGTCCAGGACTTGAACCACGGTCGGCTACATGGGAGTCCAGCAACATAGCCATTACGCTAACTGCTCGTCCCGAGGGCCTGCATCTTTCTTACCACTGGCCTTCTCATGGGCTTCTCACGAGGGCGACGCAGCAGGTGGAGAATCTCCTGCTTGCAGACCGGCCTGGTCGTCAGCCCTGAGGGTGCTGCACAGTGCTGGTAGCACCTTCTAGAAACCCTCTCTCTCAAAACCCAGAGCAGCTTTTGCTGACATCTGGTCTTTCTGGGATGCTGATACTTTTATTTATAAAATGACGCCCTGATTCCCAAATAGATTCTTATTTATAACAGGCTTTCTCCCTTTGAGGGAGGCCTGAGCCTCCTCGCTTTACTCTCTGGCATCTCTGTGCGAAGATAAGAGGGCCCCTGACTTACACCGGGAGAGGAGAGTTGGGTGTTTGCCAGGCAGAAAGGCAGACGGCTCTGTCTTTACATCTGGAGCCTGAATTCTCCATTCCTCTCCTTCCCTGCCCTCATCAACCTCAGCCCAGGAGGGAAAAACTCTCAATTAGCAGTAATTACCCCTCAGAATACCCCAGGGAATTACCCGGGATGGGAAGAGAGCAGGTGAGAACCGCACCGGCTGGCTTCCCGTCCCCTCCTCCCTCGCTCTCCGGAACATCCTTTCTCAGCCGAGGTTTCTCTCGTGTCCTGGCTTTCAGCTGCCCAACATGTTTGGCGATCTTCGTTCCACGTTCATTGCCTTGATGATCGGATCCTACGCCTCCTCCGCAATCACCTTCCCGGGAATCAAGGTGAGGGTGCGGCCAGCGGCTTTCCGACACATGCCTTTGGTTCGAGTGTCTGTGCAGAGGCCTCCCGCCAAGGCTACCCTCTCCGAAGAAAGAAGTACTTGCAGGTGCTGGGGAGGGCCCCCGCTCGCCGCTCCCCTCTGGGCAGGATGCACCTGGGCACCACGGGAGTAACAACAGAAAGCTGCTGGGCCTGGGCGGACGAGGCGAGCGTGGCCATAGGGCACTAACCCAGGCCACCCCTGCATTCCCGGGCTGGCGCAGGGAAAGGGGAGTGAGCGGTCCACCTCCGGCCTCCCCTGCCCCCGGCCTCCCCGTTACTGAAAGCTCTGCTCTCGGCCAAGTTGGTTCAGCTGTTTCCCTCCCAGGCAGGCTTCTGTGCCTGTGGAAGTCACCCAGGGTCAGGATGACGCAGACACCTCACAGCCCACCAGCCCCAGATCCTGTTGCTCCTCCAGGGTTAGGGGCTTCTCCCTTGTCTGGCACCAGCCTTGAATAAAAGCCCCTTTCTAAGCAGGTATGAGGGGTGCTGTTGATGAAGACAGGGAGTCACAGAGGATGCTGGTCACCTGGGAATCGGGGCATAGGGATGCGTGAGGGGACAGCCATCCCATGCTCCTCTTCCTCCTTTTTTCAGTGTCTAACGCCTGGTCTCCTCTCCGGGGAGCTGGACAGCTGCAGTGTTTTGGGGGCTCTTGTCAGTAACAGCTCCCATGCTCAGCGGGCTGCCCACCTGGCAGGCCATCCTGAGCACTCTGCCAGGTTCCACCCACTCGCTCACCCCCCTCCACACCATGAGGACACATGCGGTGCCACACCCACCTCACAGAGGAGCAAAGGAAGTCACGTTTGTCACCTTGCTCCCTGAGTGTCTCTTGGCACTTCCACCGGTGTGCTCTTTGAGGCGCTGGAGAGACGGTGGGCGAGGCTGGCAGGTCGCTGTCCTTGGGCAGCTAGACTGACAGTGCAAGCGAGTGAACCAGGAGGTCCGATGGTCTGAGCCACAGAGCCGGTGTGTGGCAGTAATGGCGGTGGTCAAGGAAGGCCTCTCCAGGTGGTGACAGTGGCATGAGGGGCTAATGACATGCCTGGACCAGGTAACTAGCGAGCGCAGGGAAGCTGAGATTATCTGATGGCCAGACACCCAGGCTGACTGGGCTGTGTCCCCTCACACAGCTCAGCACGGGGAGTGCAGGGGCTGCCGGGCCCAGTGCCTGCCCTGAAGCCTGCATCCCCTGCTAACTCTGCCCCTTGCCCCATCCCTACCCCCTTGTCCCCACCAGGTCATCTATGACTTTGGTGCCTCCTTCATCATCATCCTTGTGGTCTGGGCCGGCTGTTCGGGGCTGGTTTTCCTCAACTGCTTCTTTAACTGGCCTTTGGAGCCCTTCCCGGGGCCCGAGGACATGGACTACTCGTAAGTAGATGTGCCCTCTGCCCCGCCCTACCCCAGCCAGGGTCCCTGGCAGTACCCACAGACACTCTCTGTGGCCTCCAGGGTGAAGATCAAGTTCAGCTGGCTGGGCTTTGACCACAAGATCACAGGGAAGCAGTTCTACAAGCAGGTGACCACGGTGGGGCGCCGCCTCAGCGTGGGCAGCTCCATGAGGAGCGCCAAGGAGCAGGCGGCGCTGCAGGAAGGCCACAAGCTGTGCCTGTCCACCATCGACCTGGAGGTGAAGTGCCAGCCAGATGCTGCAGGTACCCACCACGCAGCCCGCCCCTCGGCCTGCCCGTGATGCCAGCTGGCGGCTGCATCCACGGCCCGATGTGCACACCGCAGCCCAGCGCCCCCTCCCCAGAGCCCACGGTGGCTGAGGACTTTGTGGGGATCATCCTTTCTCATTCCCTCTTCATCCCAGAAGGGAGGTGCACCCCCGCCCTGTCTTACAGAGGCACTCAGGGAGGCGAAGGGTCTATCAGCTCCAGTTCACACGACTCGGTGGCCCCACCCCAGCATCCACACTTCATCTCACCCAGGCCTTTCCTTAAGCAGCGCCCCCTGCCTCCAGTGTGGAGTGATGGGGTCAGCGGATCAGGCTCCCCCTGCTTGCTGTGCGGGCCACGCATGGCAGGAGCTGTGCACCGAGGCCCTGAGCACCTGCCTTCTCCCCACAGCGGCCCCCTCGTTCATGCACAGCGTGTTCAGCCCCATCCTGCTGCTCAGCCTCGTCACCATGTGTGTCACGCAGCTGAGGCTCATCTTCTACATGGGGGCCATGAACAACATCCTCAAGTTCCTGGTCAACGGTGACCAGAAGACAGGTACGTGCACAGCCCCACAGGAAGTCCCTCGTGCGTGGCAGCCACTGCCGACCAGCCCACTGGCCGGCGGCCGGAATGTAACGAACTAAGCCGGGCCAGCAGGGCCTGGAAAGGGGCAGCACCTGCAGTGCCAGTGACCGGGCAGGGCCGTTTCGTCACAGCAGCCCTGACTGTTCTTTCATGTCCCCGTCAGGGTTTCCTGCTTTAGGAGGGAGGGAAGGACTGAAATAGCTCCATGGGTGTGGGGTGTATTATTTTCCAGTGCCCGAGGGTTGACGTGTGTGTCTGTAAACGAAAACATCGCACAGAACAGAGCGCTCCCCCTGCGTGCAGGGTTGACGTGCGGAGACCCTGGGGTCAAGTGGGAGGACGGTTGTCGTGCACCGAGATGTGTGTCCTAGACCGTGAAACAGGGCAAGACAGAGCCTTCCTCGGAGCATTGTAATCCAGTTGAGGCTTGTTAATGCCAGTAAACAGAACTGATAACCCACACGCAGCTTTTCCCAAACAGCAAAGACGGTCTTCGGCTGATGAGAGGTTTTGATCCTACAAGAAAGTCGGTACTTCCCCAGGGCCCGAGCTGAGTCAGCTTTAGTCATCCCCAAATGGCACAAACACTTTTGGTAAATCCTCCCGATAGGCAGTCTTGAGGCATCCAGCTTTCTTGTTGATTTTCTTGTTTTTGAATCAAATGATCAGCCTTTAGAGGGGAAAAGAAATCCAACTTTTTCTTCTAAGTTTTGCTATTGGGGACATGGGCTTGTTGGAAAGAGAGGGACAAAGCGAGAGAAAGGGAAAGTAAGAAATCACCCTGCAGGGGAATGGTCACACCGTAATCCCTTCTCCTTCATTTCTCTCTCCCCTTGGGATTTTGGGCAAGCATACATACCCATGTGCCTGGCATGATTTTTCAAGCCACTGGGTCCAGGACTCGAACCACGCAGTCAGCCATGTAGGACCCAGCTGCCTTCACCTGTGTGCCACATGCTAACTCTAACAAATCTAGCTTTAACAGACAAGGAAGATAGCAAAGGGGAACAGGTAACACTGGTTCCACTGTGGAAAAGGGGCCTCTAGAGGTGAGGCGAAGTGGAGAACCAGGAAGTTATGTGCCCCGGGCACTGACCGGGGAAAAACCCTTGGGAGCCCTGCTGGAAAAGTAACCTTTTTAGACTTATTTAGTCCAACAGTGTTCCCCTGGATTTCTGCCACACAGGATCCCTTTTTTTTTTTTTAATGTAGTATGTATTAAAATCTTTGGAGCACACTGGGGAAAGCTGATCTACCACCCGTAAACACCCTCTGTCTTAAACAGACCTGGAAGTGTGCAGGGAGAGCTCATCGCTGGCCGTTAGAAGGCAAATCTCCCTGCTACTGGGTTTGGTTTTGTTTTTAAATTTTTTTATAGGGGCTGGCCCCTGGCCTCGTGGTTGGAGGAGCTGGATCCCACGTGAGTTCTAGACCTGGTAGCTTGAAGGTCACATCAGGCCTGTGTACATGTGTCCCCAAATTCTGACAGGATGGAAAAATGGAGGAAAGGGATTATGATGTGACCATGCCCATGGAGGCAGGGTATTTTCTCCATCGTTCTCTCTTGCTGTCTCTTGCTCTCGCTCTCTCTGGAGGGCATGTGTGTCCTCTGGCCAAAAAAGAAAATAGATTAAGTTCACTTATTTCTTCCATAAGGAAGAGAGACAGGGTCTCGATACTGTGGTGGATACCCAGCTTTACCCAGCCCTGGGTCCTGGTCACATGTGCCAGGTGTCCTCAGGGAGGTCTCTGGGTGCAAACCCAGACCCTTCCCATGTGGGTCAGCCTTGCAGAGTGTTATACTTTACCACTGCGCTGCCATTCAGCCTGGCTGTGGTAAGGCTATGGTCTTTTCCTTGAGTTCTCTGAGAAATTTTTTGCTGCTCAAGAGGAATTTTTCCAACAATTTCCTGCATTCAAAAAGTCCATTTCAAGAAGTAGAGGAAGTCAGGCCAGGAAGTCTGGTCTGCGACAGAGCATTGGTTTTCCCCGTCCTGCCCTTGTGAGCTGTTGCCCCCAACACCCACAGCCCAGTTGTGCCCAGGGCGGGTGCTGTGGGGTCCAGGAGCCAGTGGGTGGGGGTGAGACTAGCTCTGGCAGGCTGAGGAGCCTTCTGGTGTCAGATGCTTGGCTGGGTGTCTGGTGGCTTCTTTGTCTTTGTCCTCTTTGTCCTCCCCTTTGAAGTGTGGCGGGAGTAGCAGTCAGGGCAGTGTCTCTGCAGGACTGCCGGGTAGTAAGAACGCTGATTCTGCCAGGCCTTTCCTGCACACCCCACTTCCCCATTACCAGGCCGCCCGTGACGAGGCACCAGCCTCACGTGACTATGGCACCAGCAGACAGTAAACTGTGTGCACCTGGGCTGGGCCTTTTCCCAAATCCTCTCTGAAGAGCCTGGCTTACGTGACTATGGCACCAGCAGACAGTAAACTGTGCACCTGGGCTGGGCCTTTTCCCAAATCTTCTCTGAAGAGCCTGGCTTATGTCTGCCTCTCCTGAGCACTCTGAGTCAGGTCTCAGTGGGAGACAGAGTGTGTGCGAGGCCCAAGCTAGCCTGCCTCTCCTCTCCCCTATTACAGCTGTTGAGATTTTTTTTTTTTTAGTTTATTTATTCCATTAGCTACAGCATCCATGACAGACTTGATGCCGTAGTCTGTCTACAGCATCAGCCAGCCCAGGTCTTGGGCTCACACATGCCTGGCATACTCAGGGAGGTCTCTGGACACGAACTGGCAACCTTCCCATGTGGGTCAGCCTTATAGAGCGCTGTTTTACCACTGCACCACCATCAGCCATCTTGTTGTTGCTACAGAGCGTGTGCTCAGCAGAAACAGAGTCGGGGCCAGGGGAGTAACCCCCCCCTCCAGGGGAGATGGTCACACCACAGTTTCTTCTCTCAGGATTTTGAGCATACACACACACACACACACGTACCCAGAATGTTTTTTAAGCCGCTGGGTTGGGGACTTGAACTACACAGTCAGCCATGTGGGATCCAGCTGCTTTAACCACCATGCCATCTGTTGGCGCCCACCTTTATTTATTTATTTTTTAATGATCGCATGTGCATGATAGAAAAAGAGAGAAACAGAAAGCACCTTCTACAGGGTCTTCTCACACTGAACCCTTTTCCCCAGCCTTCAGGATCTTGGGCACCTGCTGTTGTGTGCCCCTAGCATATTTTCAGGCCAACGTGGGGATCTGAACTCACAGCTGGCCGTGCACCTTCCATACGCTACAAATGACACCACTGAGGCTGGGCCTGCCCTTCCCATCGCTGTCACTAACCTCTCTCTGCATTTTTGCCTTTGCTTTCTTGCTGCAGTGATGGACACTGGTAAGCAGTGGGGGGTTGTCAAGGGACATTGCCACATTCCCTTCCAGCCAGTCTCTGTTCAACCCAGAAACTCCTCCCCTTGAACTCCTAACATCCCTTTTGGCCAGATTGTGGGAGTGGGGCAGTCAACTTTCAGCTTCTATTTCCCTGAAAAGTCCCACCACAACTTAAGTCTCTTTGAAGACGGAAGCCCTTACGTCAGAGCCCGGTGCGTGGTGCCTTGCCGTGTATTTCTAGAAACAGAACACTGATGGCTGGGCACACAGGCAGCCTCCGTCACTGGCACTGGTAATTTTGTGGTTCTTCAGTCATAGTGGCTTCCTGGAGCTTCGTGGGGAGGTCATTGTGACATGCTGGATTTCATTAGCCATTTCTTGGAAACAAGTAAGGGGTTTGGAGCAGAGAATGGGCCTCCCTGCTCCAGCTTTGATTTCAGAGGTGAAGGTCTCTGGCTCCCTTCGAGATCTGCAGTGACAAGGGGGCTCCAAGGCAGACCCCAGGAGATCCTGTGGGTTCCAGCCCCTCCCCAGACTCTGCCCAGTGCCTACCCCCAGGCCTTCTGCGGGAGCCCCCGTGACGTAGCCCGCCTTCCTCCCCAGTGGGCCTGTACACCTCCATCTTCGGCGTGCTCCAGCTGCTGTGCCTGCTGACAGCTCCCGTCATCGGCTACATCATGGACTGGAGGCTGAAGGAGTGCGAAGATGCCTCTGAGGAGCCTGAGGAGAAAGATGCCAACCAGTGCGTAGGCAGGGCCGATGCCCCGGCTCACAGCCCCCGGAGAAAGGCTGCAGAGCCGTGTGTTAGGCAGGGCCAGGGCGGGTGGGACCACGGTCAGCAGGAGAGGTGGGAGAGGGATGCACCCGGGGCAGGTTCTTTAAGACAATCGCCGTTCAGCTCAGCACACACTGAAGCTCTTACCTCCTGATGGGAATTTGTTGGTATGGTTAAGTTTGGCAAGCGCTGAGCTAGATGGAAGAAAGGGAGAAGCCAGAGGAAATCTGTGTGGAGACGTGCATAGCCTCTGCCCCAAGGAAGGCCCTCAGGCCTCGGGCATGAGTGACATGGCAAGGCAGCCATCTTTAAGCCATCCCACCTGCCTATAAAGTTGACTGCGCTCGATCTGAGTAGGGAGTTGCTGTAATGGTAATAGGTGTTCCTAGCTGTGTTCATGACTGTGAGGATTCACCGAGGGCTGGGCTCTAAGATCAGAGGATGAGTTACTGCTGTCTTCTGTGATCCCACCTGGATATAAGTGTCCTGCTCGCTGTAGCCGGCCCGTGCACGCACTCTCTGCGCAGGGTCTCAGTGAAGCCACGCAGCACCATGACGAGGTGTCTACACGTGTCACACCCCGTTTACGGATCAGGGGGCTGAAGCTAGGAGTTGGAGTAGTTTGCCTGAAGTCACCTAGAAAGGAAATGGTGGGCTGGGGGCTCCTAGCGCATCTCCATCACTTGGGATGCTTTGTTGGATGTCCTGTGGTCACCCATGGGGTACCTGTGGGTGGTGAGACTGGACTCCGTAATAGTTAATACACGAAGAAAGAATGACAGAGAATCCTCTGTTATCTAGGTCAGGCCCTGTAGCCAAGAGGTTATTCGTGCCCATTCCAGTTCCATCTGCTGCAGAGTTATTTTCCTTCACCTGCTCCTGCCCCCCAAGGAGAAATCCACCCTTTCCTTTATTTGACTTACCTGCTTCCTGAAAGATTTGGGTGAGCTCGACGTGCAGACTTGCCACCTCCCAACTTGGGCACACTCAGCTGCTCCTCTACCCGTCTCTGGGTGTCAGTCTTTGCTAGGCAGTGGAGTGTATAATGACCATCTCATACCTGAGATCCCTGTACTGGGGTTCGCACTCAGCACTCGAGGGAGAGGGGGGTGGACCAGGGAGTGTTCCTAGTGTTGGTTTAGCCTTGACTGTCCCCAAATCATGCACAGATGGCCTCTGAGTCTATGTCAGTCCCCATGCTGTGACTCCTGAGGCCTGACTTCCTGGGAGGACCCACCCTCCTCCAGGAAGCCCTCTAGCTCTTGTGTATACTGTGTGTTTCCACAGAGGTGAGAAAAAAAAGAAGAAACGAGACCGGCAGATCCAGAAGGTCACCAATGCCATGCGGGCCTTTGCCTTTACAAACCTGCTGCTTGTGGGCTTTGGGGTGACCTGCCTCATTCCCAACCTGCCTCTTCAGGTGGGTATAGGGGGCCGGGATGGCCAGGTGGGGTCTGGGACAGTGAGAAGGGGTGATGTTTAGAGACTGTGTCATGGAAGCCATCCACAAAGCTTTTCAGTCAGTTCAGCTCACCAGGCCACCGTCCCTTACTGCAGGACTGCTCCCTGCCAGGCACCACGCCTGATGCTGGAGTGAGCCGTAAGGGAACTCGGACTGTCTCCCACAGCCTCTCTGTGGCCATGTTGCTCTTTCCAGTCTCCTGGGCCTGGAATACCACAACAACTGGAATTGTGCCATTTCCCAGAACTCTGTAGGGGGAGTCAGTCGTGTGGTTACTTGTTTTGCATTCGCTTAAACAGCTGGAATCTGATGTCCAGAGATCCCTGGCTAGTCTGTGGCGTAGACGAAAACATCTGCTCCCCTGGGACGAGAGCGCCCGCAGGGTCTCCACACTGGAGAGACTGGAAGAAGATTGATGTTGGCTTGGCATCTGGGCTCAAAAGCTCAATTCCTTTGCACAAGATTTCTGGTGCTTTTGAAACTTTTGGTAGAGATTTTGAGCAAGGTAGACTTTGTCACCTGCCTGGCTCTACCCTTAGGCCTGTAAAGACAGATTTGGGTGCCGTTCTCCAAGATGACAGACTTGGAAGGAGCACAAGTGATAGTGTTGCTTCTCATGGGCGTAGCCCAAGTGCAGATGATATCTCTGGCCAAGGCCAGGAGAAAAACAAAGCTCCTCCCTTTTTTACAAGCAGCCAGGTGTTGAAGTACGTTGAACACCCAGGTGTGCACCACCCACAGGTCCTAGCACGTGTGTGTGCTGACACAGGGCATGCAGACAGAGGAAGTCCTCGGAGGCAGGCTTCTACCATGTACAAGTGGGAGTGAAGTTTTATCTCTGCTGCCATCCCTGGCCTCCTGGGCTATCCTCACTGCAGGATGGCAGACCCTTGCCCTGACTTTGTGCAATGGAGGGGCAGTTCTCAGCGAAGATAGGCATTCACTTTGTGTTTTATTTAATTCTCATTAAAAGAAGATGTGGGGGGGGGACAGCAAGTGGCGTAGTGGCTAAGGCACTAAACTCCCACATGTTCGACCGCGATTCGAGTCCTGGACCCAGTGGCTTGAAACTCATGACAGGTGCATGTATGTGCACATACGTCGTGCAATGGAGGGGCAGTTCTCAGCGAAGATAGGCATTCACTTTGTGTTTTATTTAATTCTCATTAAAAGAAGATGTGGGGGGGGGACAGCAAGTGGCGTAGTGGCTAAGGCACTAAACTCCCACATGTTCGACCGCGATTCGAGTCCTGTACCCAGTGGCTTGAAACTCATGACAGGTGCATGTATGTGTACATACGTCCCCAAAATCCCAAGAGGAGAATAGAGAAGGGATTATGCATGGCTGTCTCCCTCTGGAGGGTGATTTCTTACCTTCTCTCTCTCTGTCTCTCTGGCCCAAGATCCCGAGAGGAGAATGGAGGAGAAGGGATTGCGGCGAGGCTATCCCCCCTGGGGGGTGATTTCTCGCTTTCTGTCTCTATGTCTCTCTCCTGGCGAGTGCACACACCCTATAGCAAAAACCTCTCCAAAAAAAAAAAAAAGAATCTGCTAAGAAATTACAAAGA